TTACTCTACAATGAGAATTGAGTACTTGCAAGAGTCCTTATAGCCTGCAAAGCTGAAAATATATACTATCTGACCTTTTACAGAAAAGGTTTTATGGATTCTTGGGCTGGTCACTAGGCAGGATGAGGAGGACCCCAATAGCAGAGGAATGATATACAAAGCAAGATCGAATTTGGGTCCTTCCCACAAGGAGCTTACAGCTGGAAGAAATAAGTTGGACTTTCACAGGTCCGGCTGTCTTCAGGGAGGATCAGAGAAAGTGCTAAGGGAGCCCAAAGGCAAACTGTCCCTGTCTGCAGGACAACTCAGGAAGTGTCTGGAGGCTGGGAGTGGCAAGCTGGGTTGGCTCAGCCATATGCCTGTGAAGAGGTGAGGGAAGAGCCTTCACAGAGAAGTGGCTCTGTGGACAAGGGCACCAGTGCAGAGACCGGTTGTGCTCCAGTTCAGTATGAAGGTGAGATGCCTGACGACGAGGATCCAGAGAAACAGTGCAAGGAGAGGCTGAATGAGGGTCCTGGAGGGGCCTCGATGCCGGGATAAGGAACTTAGAGCTTATTCTCTAGATGCAGAAAGTTTTTAACAGTTCTTGAGCTGGAGAATGAACGGGGAAGCTGTGCTTTGGGACCATTAAAAAGGCAGCCAGGTGTAGTATAGACTAGAGATTGATATTTCTAAGAGAAATTACACCTTAAGATTTATTCTCCCTAACCTCGTCAAATGAAGTAATCTATAAGAAGGATTTTGTAAGCTATAAAATGTATGGGATTATTGTGATTATTTATTATAACAATAATGCTAACCCAGGTAAGATTTAGGCCTTTCTCTTCAGATTCATTTCCATGTTTCAATCACTTTAACAATCCCCCACACTGGATTGTATTTTGACTTCCCCAGACTGTAATGATAGCCCATTTAATATTGAGCATGATGTAATTCAACAGTAATGTCCTGAGCCTTCATTTTCAAGGAAGTTATTTTCGGTATGACACAGAACATGTCATGTCATCATAATATCATGCAACAAAGGGTGGAACTCCACCCAGGACACAACACTTGCCACCAATGAGGCCTGGACATATCCCTCCCGTGGCCTTGGCCCAGAGGAGGGTTGACTCTGCTGTAATAAGACCATCACCAAAGGGCCAAGTCAGAAGCATAAAGAGCCACAGTGCCATGTAGCCCCAGGCAGCATGAGGAAGAAATGGATCCTTCAAGGCTGGGCATGGGAGATCTCTACTAAGAATAAATCCACTGGGACCAGGAACCAACAGTTCATGCAATTGGTTAAAAATGTGACTGAAGCACTTTGTCTTCAAAAGCCAAACTAAAAATCTTAAAATCAAACTTATTTTTAATAAAGTCAACAAAATTTAGATTATGACCACAGCTGTGCATTAATTCTTAGAATAAATAAGTGGTAAATTGGCGAGGAGGCATGATTTTTCCAACAAAATTGCAAAAAAGGTTATAACATCCTTCATTCCACATTTGACCTCCCAGTATAGTAATAAAGTCTATTTTTTTAAAAAAATCAAGGATTTAATTCGTTATCTCAAAGGCTTTTCTCTATCCATCGATATGAAATCATTCAAAACATCAATCAATTACTCATGATGGTAATTAAGCACTAACTCTTCTAAGGTGGATCTTCTTTTTGCCAATAACTTTTGCAGTAGTTCAAGCTGTTCTCTAATATCACTTGCAATGACTTTAAGAAATCCTTCACTGTTGGCCAGATGTAGAACTTCTCTTTGTAACTGCTTTGCCACTGCTCTCATCCTATTCATCCCCAAACCGAGAGATGGTGTTGGTGTGGTGGGCAGAAGAGAGATCATGGTTTTTCAACAGAAAGGAGACTTCCGGAGGTGGGGGCCAGAAAACCTCCATCCTGAGGCCAGGAGCTTCCACAGCTTCAAGAGGGCCCCAAAACTGCCCAGCAATCCCTGCCGTGGCCCTGCTCCACTCATTACACATTCCCAGAGCCAGCTGCAATTGGAATCCTCTCCACACTCTTTGGAGGCCTGGCCTCCTCCGCTCACCCTCTGGGAATGACTCACCCACTACTCCACAGTAAAAACAGAGGCCTGAGATGGAACGTCCACCATCTCTTGCCCCTACACCTACAGGCTAAGGGGCATCTGCATCAGATCTCACCCACTTTCCTCGAGCCCTCAGCAGGAGGACCCGTCCTTCTGCATGAGCTTCATCTCTCCCTGTCTTCTGAGTTCAAACCCCTTCCCATCAGTGCCTGGAAGCCACCTGTCATTTTCTTACCAGTCTTCCTTCCTTCCCTGCCTTCACTGTGGCTTCCTTGGGAGTGGAGTCAACTTCCCACCCCACTGGCTGTGGACCTGACCAGGCGACTTTGCTGTAACCAATGGAACGTGGGTGGGAGGTGTAACAGTTCCTGGTGGGGCATTTAGGAGCACGGCATGACCTGCTGCTCTTGTGCTGCTGGCATTTGCAAGGAAAAGTCATGCCCAACATGGTCACTGCATTCTCAGCCCTGACCGGGGAGCAAGAGTGAATCTGAACTGAAGGCCATAAGACCCACAGAGAGAAGGAAATATTTATTTAGAAAGCCCTGGAGATTTGGATTGTTTGCTTCATATCATCATTGCTACAAAACTAATACACCTTCTTCTCCACAAACTATGAACATAGCTAAATTTCTATAATGTTTATCTTAATAAAATTCTGTGGGTACACAAGTGAAGGGTATAGTCAACCCTGCCAGAGAATAAGAAAGAGGATCCAGGTTATTTTGTTTTTTGGGGAGGGAGAGTTGTATGTTTTTTATTCTCTATCCCAATAGGCAGTCTTGCACAGCAGTAATAAGTGTGGATTTTGGAACCAGTTTGCCTAGATCCTGGCTCTATTACTGCCTGACTCCACAACTTTGGGCAAGTTACTCAACCCTTCTGTTTTTTGCATCTGTGAAAATGAAATGTCAATAATAATATCACCTCCATAACAAGGTCATGGGAAGAATTAACTGAGCTAATACATGGCACTTACAGTCGAGCCTGGCATAAAGTAAGATATGTTCAATCAAGATGACCATTATTATTATGTGACTCTCCCCTCCTTCTGGCTGTAAACTCACACCCATCTCTGTAGCCCTGTGGTCTAAACGCACAGCCTGCTGTATACTAAGTGCTTCATGAATTTCTCTTGAAATACCTGCAATTTCTCAGACTTCCCTAACTCTAACACAAGCAAAAGAGCCTGGGCTTCTTGGAGAGGCCTCCAGGGACTCAAGACACAAACTCCCAATGTGTCTCTCTTTTAAAGGGATTGCCTAATTAGGTCAGGCCAACCAGGAGAGTCTTCCATTTGAATCATTTACAGCCAGCTGATTAGAGACCTTAATTACATCTGTAATATCCCTTCACCTTTACATAGAAGTAACGTGATCATGGCAGGTTACTAGCCTAACTAACTAACTAACCTATAGGTAACCTAATCATGGCAGTGACATCTATAAAATGTATGTAAATGCCTTATTTACAGGTCCTGCCCACACTCAAGGAAAGGGGGTGTGCAGGGTGTGTGCACCATCTTAGAATTCCACCTACCACACCACATTAGAGATTAAAAACTTCCTTCACTGAGAAGAGCATAGGGCAGGAAAAAATTAAAAGGGCTTGATGCTGGTAGGTGCCCAAGAAGCGAACGTGAACCCTAGCATCCTGCCCCCAAAACCTGGCTGAGCTTCATAGGAAGCAGAGTGGAGAATGAGAAGAAACCCGGAAGTAATCAGACAGACTTGGGAGCAATAGGGTCTGTCCCTCTTTTTCTGGATGAAGACAGGAGAGGGGCAAGCTGAACTAAGTCTGGAAAAAGAACATTAATATACAAATGGCTACACAGGGTATTAGGCAGAGAGGACCTGAGACAATCTCTTGTATGTTCTAGAAGCCTCAGAGTGGCCAGGACAAGATTTGGCCTCTTCCCCTCCTGCTGAGGAAGCCTGTGGAAGTGACTTCCATACAGTCTGATGTGAAAAGACCTTAAGATCAGGATGAGCGATGGCTCGGCTGCATGTCAGCAGGTCAAAGGCTAGAGACCAGAGGAGATGATACACATCTCAGCCAGTGGCACAATGGACAGCCGATGACTGAGCAACAGACGTTCTGCTTTCTGGCCTCATGCCGTGCACTGTGTAAGGCCCTGGGACATAGTCAGAACCCTGGAGAAAGGCAGGAAAGAGCTACAGTGATGCTGGATAGGATCACAATCGAGTGAACATCACTCAGGGGAATGGGATTTGGATTAGCTTCCGAAGACTGCCCTAACCAATGACCATAAATTGGGTGGCTTAAAACAACACAAATTGGGCTGGGCACAGTGGCTCACACCTGTAATCCCAGCACTTTGGGAGGCCGAGGTGGGCAGATCATGAGGTCAGGAGTTCAAGACTAGCCCGGCCAATGTGGTGAAACCCCGTCTCTACTAAAAAAACAAAAATTAGCCAGGTGTGGTGGCGTTCGCCTATAGTCCCAGCTACTTGGGAGGCTGAGACAGAAGAATCACTCGAACCCGGGAGGCGGAGGTTGCAGTGAGCAGAGATCGTGCCACTGAACTCCGGCCTGGGCGACAGAGTGACACTCCATCTCCTGGCTGCTGGGGGCAAACCTTGACTTGTAGATGCACTGCCCCAATATCTGCCTCAGGCTTCACATCAGCTCTTCTCCATGTCTCTCCACATTTCCTCCTTTTCTGTCTAAGGACACTCATCATTGGATTTAAGGCCTACCCTAAGTCCAAGATGATTTCAACCATAGTCCTTAATTTCAATACATATTCAATAAACTTATTTTTAAATAAAGTTACATTCTCACGTATTGGGGTTGAGGACTTAGACACAGCTCTTGGCAGGAACATAATTCAACCCACTACAGGGTTCAAAATAGAAATTAAGGTAACACCAGCAGCTGTAACACACCAACCCCCAAATCTCAGCAACTGTACACATCAGAAGTTGACTCCTTACTTACATAACAACCAACACCTATATTCCTGGTCAGCAGGAGGCGGGGACTCTACTCCACACAGTAGCTCCGGGACTCCAGCCCTGCCATCTTCAGCCTGCAGCTTCCAAGGTCATCTTGGGCTTTGGTAGCCTCCTGGAAGTTGCAGAAGAGAGAGGGAGAAGAATGAGGGAGAACAGAGAGGGTAGAGAAGACACATCTGTCTCTTACCCACAGCCTCACAATGACATTGCTGAGAAGTAGTCGGCGATCCTACCTAGATACTGGGGGACTGGGGCTCCCCTGGCTGGACAGCCATTCCGAGACATTCCTGGAGGGATTAATGAATCCTTGGTGAATAGCTGGCCATTTATGCCACAGCTAATAATGAGAAAATAGAGTAAAATTTCTTGCACACATAAGCTAATATCCTGAGTTGTGTGCCCATTACACAAGTATAACATGTATTTTCCAGGCCACACCCTCTGGGGACACATTTAGGTCCTGTTTTATTCTCTTTGGGATGCTACAACACACCATAAACTGGGTCACTTTTAAACAACAGCTTTATTGTTCACAATTTATTGCACACAGTTCTGGAGGCAGGGAAGTCCAAGAGCAAGGTGCCAGCAGATTCAGTGTCTGGTGAGGACCTACTTTCTGGTTCATAGAAAGCACTGCTGGAAGGCCAGGCAGAGTGGCTCACACTTGTAATCCCAGCACTTCAGAGGCCAAGGCGGGCCAATCATTTGGGGCTACGAGTTCAAGACCAGCCTTGCCAACAGGGTGAAACCCCATCTCTAAGAAAAATACAAAAAAATTAGCCAGGTGTGGTGGCATGTGCCTGTAGTCCCAGCTACTCAGGAGGCTGAGGCAGTAGTATCGCTTGAACTCGGGAAACGGAGGTTGCGGTGAGCTGAGATCGCACCACTGCACTTCAGTCTGGGCAACAGAGCAAGACTCCATCACCATAATAAAAAATTATAATAAATAAATAAATAAAAAGAAAGCACTGGTAAGAAGGGTGAGGTAGCTCTCTGGAGCCTCTTTTATAAGGGCACTGATCCCATTCATGAGGGCTCTACCCTCATGACCTAATCACCTCCCAAGGGCCCCACCTACTACTACTATCTCCTTGGGGGTTGAGTTTCAACACAGGACAAACATCAGACCATAGCAGCCCCTAAACTGGAGCCAGTTAGTTATTGTGCTTGCCCCTGAAGACTCCAGTTTCTGTCAGCGCTGCATTTCCCTCTGAGTACTTCCCCTCTGCTCCAAGTGGGAAGGGTACATCTCAGTTCTCCCTACTTCCCACCCAGGCCACCATTTGTTACGCCCCTGTGGGTTTGCCTCAGCTATATCTAAGTCCTTCAGGAGTACTGTACCACCTCAGCTGCCCAGAGAATCCACAGCTCTTACCAGAGCCCAAGGAGAGTCAACCCCTAATGCAAAATGACCTTCCTAACCTGCTACACACCTGGATCATTTTCACTGCTGCAGGTGTCCCAAGCCTGGACACCTTTTCTCCCAGCTGGAGCTCATGTCAGCCCTAAAGACCTCCTCCCCAAGTCTGCCTGAGGGCCTGCGTCCCACACAGGGCCAGCCCTCCTTCACTCTTCTCTAGGCAGCCTCCTTTCCCCTTCTCCAGCCAGATCTTCCAACTCCAACAGCATTTCATGCCCTCACATGAACTGTGTGTTCTTTTGGAAAGAAGAGGTTTGCTGCTTTAAAAAACGCCATTGAAGAAATACAGCCACCTTTGCATATGTTTCCAAAAAATACAGGCCACATAGCAGGGATATGTGACAATTATGTTCAGATGTAGGTCTTTAATTCTGTGAAAAAATCAAGAAGGAGGGTGTCCTAGAGGGTAATTGAGGGAGAAACTACCAATACAGACACCATCATGGCACTGTTCCTCTTTCTCTTAGATCCTTGCCGACATCCTTGGGGACCCCAGAAGGAGAACAAAGTATACAAGGTATGTCTCCACACTGGGGCATCTCACGCTCAGCAGAAGTGACATCTGGGCTGGCCAAGGCTTTGTCGTGGGACTGTCCTGTGTGTGGTAGGATGTTTGGCAGCATCTTCCACCTCCACCTACTAGATGACAGTAGCACCCTCCCCACTGCAAGTTGCAGCAGTCAAAAACATCCCCAAACATTCCTCACGTCTCCTGGGGGACAAAATCGCCCCCAGTTGAAAAGCACTGCTCTTAAGCAATAGGACAAACTACTGTTGAAGAAATACACAGAGATTTACAGTCAGGGATGGCACTGTCCAGATATAACGTGAGCCACAAATGCAAGCCACAGATGTAATTTTAAATTTTCTAGTAGTGACATTTTAAAACGTTTTGAAAATGGTGAAATTGGTTTTAATCATATAGTTTGTTTAACGCAACATGTATTATACAAAATGTTCTTTAACATGTAATCGATATTAAAGGTTACTAATGAATGGTCTTTTTTTTTTCCTGGTACTGTGTGTCGGAAATCCGGTGAGTGTTTTGTATCCAAAACACATCTAAAGTACATCTCAATTTGGACTAGTCACATTTTAAGTGCTCAGTAGCTACACAAGGCGAGTGGCCACTGTCTTGACCAGTGCTGGCTGGGAAGCATGGATAGCTTTATGATAAAATCATAGATATCAGAATCAAGCAAGCAGTAGCCTCAAGTTCCAGCTCACAAGCTATGTGATCCTGAGCAAGTAAGTCTCTCGGAGTCTTGATTTCTCTATCTGTAAAATGTGACAGTGATGCATTCTGCACAGGGTGTATATAAGTCCATTCAAACTTTGCTATAAAGAACCTCTTGAGACTGGGTAATTTAAAAAGAATACAGGTTTAATTGGCTCACAGTTCTGCAGGCTGCACAGGAAGCATGGCTGGGGAGGCCACAGGAAACTTACAATCATGGTGGAAGGTGAAGAGGAAGCAGGCGTGTCTTACCTGGCCGGAGCAGGAAGAAGAGAGAGGGAAGGTGCCACATATTTTTAAACAACCAGAACTCATGAGAACTCACTCACTATTGTGAAAACAGCAAGGGAGAAATCTGCCCCATGATGCAACCACATCCCAACACGTCCCTCCTCCAACACTGGTGATTACAATTCGACATGAGATTTGGGCAGAGATGCAAATCCAAACCATATCGGGTCGTTGTGAAGATTACGAAGGAGAAGAGAGGTTTGAAGGACCCTCAAAACAAGCAGAGCATAGTGGCCCCCCCTTTAGGGGTTAGTCCCCTTCCTCCAAGGAGCAGTTCCCTCCAGAGCAATGTGTAAGCACACCTCAAGGCGGCCACCACAGGGAGTCCATAATGCCCCCACCGACCTGCTTTTCTCTCCCTCTCTGGAAACAACACATCCCACAGGTCTCAGCCCCAGTAAATCTCCTCTTCCAGGCAGCAAGATTCATCTGTGGCATGTGTTTGCCCCTTTATTTGTTAATAAAAGTGCTTTTCCTAGAGTGCAGTCAGAAGGGGGAGTGGGGAGTAATAACATGTGTTTGGTGTCTCCGATATTAATAGCACCAAGTGTCACATGCTATGACAGCAATGAAAGTGGGTATGGACTCGGGACCCCCTCTTTTCTGGGAGGCAATGCTCCCCCTTGCAAACAGAAAATAAACACAGCCCTGGTGGAACACAAATGCCAATAACTGTGAGATTTTGATTAAATAATAGATATGTGTTCAGAAGCACTTCTTCATAGTATGTGATTAAGAAAGATAACTAGACATTCTTACAGCCCTAATGATAATAATTACCACAACACATAAAGTGCAGAATATGACACCAGAAAGGCCATTATTAACCTTTCCCAGGGTTATTTTTTTGGGGGTGTATTTTTGACACCATGGACACCGGCATTCAGAAACTAAATAAAACTATAGCTGAGGCAATTACCCTCAGCCATTGCCCTGATCCCGCCTGGGATCAGGACAAATAAAGGGGGCTGAGAAGGGGAGAGAGAGAGAGAGAGAGACAGTGTGCAGGGGGCATAAAAAGTCTTTTATACAAAACAGATGCTTGCTTAATATCGAACATCTGGCCAGTCTTATAAAGATTTGTATTAACATTTCTGCAACTGTCAGTAATTCAGAAAAGTGACAGACCTTCCCTGTTTAGGTTTTTGCTATAAATAACAACCTTAGTTTTTTTGTTTTTTTTTTTACTGCTTGCATGCAATTTGGGTCCCTGACATCTGATACCCAACTGCTCAGCACTTCCTGGCCTGCCCTGAGGGTGAAGAGGGGTGGCAGCTGCTCTGGAATCTCACTGCCCTGCACTTCCTCAAGAACTGCCCAAATCTCCCCATCCTGGCTTCGCAATACCTGTTCTTAATGCCATTGAACTTTCCTCTAAACCAAGTGCATTGGTCAACTTTTGCTGCATAACAAACCATCCCAAAATTGAATGGCTTCAAAGAGTGACCATATATTTTGTGTATGACTCCAAGGGTGGGCTATTTGGACTGGGCTCTGATTGTTAGTTCTTCTGGTCTTGACTGTGTTCATTCATTCTGTTGTAGTCAGCTCCCAGGTTGGCTCCGGGCTGGGTGGTCTATGTTGGTCTAAGCAGCCTCTAGCTCATCTCTGCTTCACATGCACTCTCATCTTCCAGCAGGCCAGCTTGAGCACATTCACACAACCCAGGCAGAGGTCTAAGAGAACAAACAGCAGCATGCAGGGTCTTTTGGGGTATAGGTTCAGAACTGGCATGCTATCACTTCTGCTTGCATTCTACTGATAAAATTCAGTCACAAAACCAGATTCATGGGGTCAAGAAAAGAGTCTCATCCACTGAGAGGAGCTACCAAAATCTAATTGCAAGGATACAGGCCGAAGAACAATTCTGGCCATTTTTGCAAACAAGATCTCACCTCTGGTACAGTTTCTCAACCATTCTCCAATGACCCTCTGAGTTGGTCAGAGAAGGTATTATTATTACAGCTGTAACGCTCTGGAACTGTAGCTAAGTGAATCATCTAGAGTTGCACAGCCTCTTGGAGAGCAAGAATCTCCCCAGATGCCATGAATCAAAAGCAAAGGCAACGAGATGCCTGGAGAAGATAAACAGCAGGACAGCTTTCCAAGTGGGCAGTGGAGAAAATTCTGGAAGATGGAGTTTACCACCAGCTGTAGCTGCTGACCACGGTCAGGGCAGACTTTCTGGCTGATACAGTAGTAAGCCTGATGTGACAGTGATTTGAGCAGCATCAAAAGGTGTATCTGTTATTTCACAAATTTGTTTCTCCCACCTTCTTATTCCATAAAGGAATAAGGCATGTAACAAAAATATATCCAAAGATTGTATTTTTTATTCAAAAAATAAATAAGAAAGGGTGTC